TATTTCAATCTACTTTTACCCACGAACTTTTCTACATTTCTTCCACTACATAGACTATCTTCTAAAACATACCTATAACTTTTGAAAATACGCAGACATATCTCTCAACTAATACATTCTACTGTATTGATTAATAATTCAAGGTCCAAAGCTTATACTTCACGTTGAAAGTATTAAGATAAGTATGTTTTTGAAGTGGTTTTTCGTTTCTTTTCTTTTTTAATAATTTACTTACTGGAGGCAAACCACTTTAAAATTTGCATTATTCACAAGAAAAGGTATTTTTTTTTATTTTTCTTGCTTATTAGGAGTACCCTGAAGTTCATGATATAAAACTCTCCTTTTACAATTGTACATGTCAGAGAAGAGATACAGTGCGATTGACCGTAGAAAGGATTTCATAGTCAATCACAACGAAAGTGACCTGCGCCGTCCGGGAATCGAACCCGAGTCGCCTGATTCACAGTCCAACGCTCTACCTATTGAGCTAACCGGAGGGCTTCTTCATAAATTGCATAAAAATACTAGATTGTTTACGATACATACGGCTCATCAAATCATTTTATGATTCAAGAAAGAAACAAAATCGTTTTTATCCTGCCATTAACACATATATAATATGTCCTGGTCAATCACACTTTCAGAATTAAAGGTTATTAAATATTGTAATTTAAAAAATAAAAGAAAGAACTATTAATTATCAGAACAAAACAGAACTTATTTTTATTTGTACATAGTACATCATTATATTCCAAGCAATTTCCAAGCACATAATTATCATATAATAAAAAACATTACAAATATCTCGGTCTTGAATTGACCGAACATCTTGATTATTCTTTACAGCTAAAACTTTTGTTCAGGTTGCTCATATCTAGCATTAGGAAATGTTAATTGCTAAAAGTAGAGTTTTTGGAGTTACTCATTATAAAGCATATACTAAAATGTACGAAACTACCGTTGTACTAAGAAAGCACATATACATCATCTGTTTGGGGCTGTGATACATTCTCTTGTTTAAATGCTGCACGTTGTATATTGAAAGTTGGAAGATATACTCCACATGCAGCAGATTGTGGAGATTTCGGTTGGAAACCTATTATATATTTTTGTTGGAAAACTGTTTAAGCAAACTGGAGTAGATTAACCCATTACCGAATGAGCATTTTGTGAAAAATGGCTGTTATCACTGAAAAATCTCAAGTTCTTACAAGTTCAAATTGCTGTAAAACTATAAAAAAAACTGTGTCAATACTAATCAAACTTGGCACAAATGTTGACTGAACCATTGCCTTTGTAACAACATGCTTAGTCTTAAATTTCCTGTTACCAGGGCAACAAGGGGACATCTCGAAATTGCCAAAAATGACTATTTTGCATTGATTTTTATTTTATTAAAATTGATTTTAAAGTGCTGCAACTTCTCAATGGACTGAGATAGAGTCAAAAGTTGTCAGCGTTGGTTACACGTTACCTTATGATCGACATGGGGTCATTTTTAGCCTCTCATAAGTCCAAAATTTTCTTGCTGCCACCCTTTCAACCCTCAAACAGAAGGGGGCACAACCCCTTTTTACAACCCCTTGATGCATCTTTTGGAAAGGGGGCGGCACCGCAAAAGTGGTCACTTTTTAAACAACATTTTCCAAACAAAAACAAGTGTTGGGGCCTAAATAAAGCATTTTTTCACCATTTGAGACAACAAAAAAGGGGGAGTGTGAAGAGAGCGCATAAAAGCGTGTATATCTGGTAATGTGTTAAGTAATATGAATGTAGAGGTTAAATAAACAAAAAAATATGGGCAAGTAATAGGTCAGATAACATATGTAAGAATTGGAATTTCAAAGTCTGTACGTTGTTTTAGTAGTATAATATTGAACGATTTTGCAATGTTGAAAATCAGATACAAAAACAAAAATTGTTTAATATTATTTTGCCAAAATTATTGGAAGATTACATTCCAAAAATCAGCCCAAAATGGTATTGGTAGAAACAAATTAAAACATTCAAGAGTAATTTTGAACCTGAAAATTATTGTAAGTTAGTTTTGAAAAGGTCAGTGGCACAGCTCCAAAAAGTATAGAGCTAGACGCTACAATGGTTTGCCAGCGGAACAATGATTGTGCTCCCACTGTCAAAGCTATTGTCGAGAACAAAAACATGTATTGTTTTATTGCCCTCTATATGATTCCATTCGTAACGACTTGATTCGAGAAGCGCAAATGCTAAACAATGGTTTTGACACCCTCTCAGATAATTACAAAGTAGGATATATTCTCTCTAATGCAGATATTGTATTTTGACTGCCAAAACCTGTTTTAACATACTGAATACAGTCATGTAGAAGAAAACTATTTTTTTACAACTGATATTTTTTTTTAACTTTGCGTACTTTTAGATAGACATGTACTATCCAAATAATTACTTTGCTAATAATCTTCTAAACCGGATTTGATTAAATATAAATACAATATTAATTTGTATATGGAATATATAAAGTACCTTGTTACCCCAGTACTTTAATTTACCTCAGTAGATTCATTTCACCATAATAAGTAAAGGTATTTTAGAGTTTTTACAATTTTTTATGTAAATAGTAAGTCAACCTTTTAGTCTCTTGTAAATGTGCATTTATATTGTATTTTATAGGTGTTTTAACAGTGTACATTGATGCGACTGTAAATAAGATAATAAACAAATACTATTTGTCTCTAAAATTATCATACTGGTTTCCTAGCAGTTTCCAGCCCCTTTTAAAAAATAAAATAAAAATATGTCTACGGACGAGTACAAAACTTCGACAGAGCAATGTTAGGTGCCTGTCGGCATAACCATGTTTTCAATGTTCCTCTTTTACTTTACTTTTTAATTAGAATACGTATATGCCTGAATGTAACACATTTTCTCACTTTTATTCATAGCAGTTTTTCGGACCTTTTTTATTTTAAATATAGTTCAGTACAGTAAGTAATATCAAGATGATTTCACCAAAGAAATAGAACTGCCCAACATGTTCCGTCTCGTCTGCAAATATATTGTTCAAAACTATTGATTTACCTGCGCATGGTCATTCAACTAAAATACCCCAGTTGTTCCTGAAAATGATTAATGGACGGAAAAACTGCTAGGGGCCGCAAACTGCTAGGAAACCAGTCGACTATTTATACGTTATTGATGAAAACAGTAGTTCGACTTATTTGTAAAATCAGTTAAATTATTTACTACTAACTGGTCATTTTGTAGTTCAATTAAATTACCTGATAATGTTAAATTAACTGGTTATTATAATAACATTAATAAAATATTTTTTATTTTTAACATTTTCAACATAAATTAATTATGACATTATATTGATAGAAATTATCAATTTTACAAAGTACAAAAAGTAAAAACAATAAATTAACAATCTAATTAATAAAATGCTATTTAAAACATTCCTTAATAAGCCTACACAATTATATAAAAAAAACATTCTGGTAAAATAATTTTAATGCTTGAGAAAACTTAAAGTGAAATAATTGGCTTGGAATGGAAATTTTAGTATTTTTTGTAACATCAAAGAATGCAAATTGAAACAAGTTTAGGGATTTTTTATATATAAAGCCGACTTAAAACAAATTGAAGAAAAAAGTGGGCCGTCATTATCCTTTTTGAATTATCCCCTGCTGAAAGAGAAGTTTTCTATCTTTTCAAGGCAAAATAATGCAACCATATTTAATATATATTGTACCAGGAAGCTTGAGTTACCTGTTCAAGAAAGTGTTTTTTTTTTTCTTCAATTTGTTTCAATCATGATTCCCTTTCATCAAGCATTTTTAGGTTCATTTGGTACATTAAATCAATTGTAAAAATAATTACAAACATTTTCCATTGCTGGCATTCTTCCTTTATATCATAATTCGATTCAGTCTATATCTCAATCTTCTAAAAGTTTGGTCGTACACATTCTTTATCGCATGTAAAATTTCCTTTTTATGTTCAACACCTTATAAATTAAAATATAACAGACGGACGTTAAGTGATTGCACCATTTGCAGTTTCCAATAGAAATCAGTTTCGCATTAAATCTAATCAATTTAGCCTTTTTTACTCATTTCCTGTAAACAAATCACCCATACCAAATGCATATCACACCCCATATTAACTTATTTTCATTTTCAGAGTACAAAACATTCCATAATATCACATAAAGCCTCCTTTCTAATTTTAGATTCCAAAACATGTATATCAAATGCATATCTTACTTCATCTAGCTTCATATCCATTTTCAGAGATCATTAAAATTGTTAGGAAAATTCTGATTCTTTTGAATTCGCACCAGTCGTAAAACCAATGTCAGACTCGGATAGCAGTATGTCCTATATAGTTTTGATAGGTGTGTATATATGTCATATGGTATAAAGTTATTTTATACATTGTTGGGCACAGTAATGAAATACAGAGTTGTCAAACATTTGAATTGGTCAAATCTATACATGTATGGAGTGTGATATGGAATTGATAGGAACTTCTTGTACTCTAAAAATAAAAACAAGGCACATACTGATTTCTATTGGACCATTACGTAGTAAAAAATATGAAGTGCATAAAATATATATATTACAAAGGGGATGTCAGTAAATTAATAACGGGTGGATAGGCTAATGGAAGTAGAAGAAATACTTACCGAAAGACCGGAAGTGTGAAGTTAAATTGAAACGCTTGTGCAAAATACAAAGACTTCGAAAAAAGGTTTTCATATGTAATGTGAGAGATGAAAGCAAATGCTACAGACAACTGCAACATCGACACTTATCCGTTAAAAATGCAGAGCTTTTATTTTGGCACATTAAATAGCTTAGGGAATTTCTGAATCCATCGCTAGGAGCAATAATTAAGTAGTAGGGATCACATCTTGTGTCTGATTTTCATAGAAATGGGGTCGGGTTATCAATCAAGTGGTGCATTTTACTTTACACTATCTGAAAAAAGGTCATTAAAATTCATAAAATGGTACAAACCTTAATCTAAATCGTCTCCCCAAACGTTGGCGAGAGAAGGACACCACTTTGAATATATTGTTAAGTCGGCTGAATTTCTGAAGAAAAAATGAATTTTTGTAGCCAACGACCTTTTCCACTCGATCTCTAGAGGACATTCAAGTATAAATAGGCGTCGAAAAAATCTTATCTTTAAACATTGCATTTATGTTGCAAACAATACATTCGGGTAAATATGATAATTCTCGCGATATTCAACTCTATCACTGTTTAACGCATATTTGTATGTTTCATAAGGTTCAGGTAAATCAATCTACAAAACTTTAAATATTAATTAATAAGTAGATGAAATCAATCTGTTAAATTCAAGATAATTTTCAAATCAATAAATAGACATCTTCAACCTAGTTAAGAATTTAACTGCTTTAATATTTGTGAAAACAAAATGGCTACCTTCGTCTTCAGCTAAGCCTGTCTATTGCGTATAAGCCGAACTATACTTTTATATTTTCTGAAACTTGCGCAGGTCAACCAATCCAGGTAAATTACATTAAAATCACGGGTAAAGAAAGAGTTATTTGAAACTACAAACACATAAATATAAACAATAAAATTGTCGACATGTTCAACAAATGTATTTAAAATTCAAGTATTAAAGCATGGAGCTGAACGATTGAAGATTAGATAAAATTTTGAAATTAGACTTAATATACACAAAAAACGTGAACACCCCTCCTCTAAAAGTAAAGGACACTTTTGCCCATATAAGGAAATCTTAGAAAAATATTCAACGAATAGAAAATGAAAATAAAAAATATCATCTCTAAATGATAATTTTCATTTAATTTTTGTTCAGTAAGGACGAATTCAAATTTACAGTTTTTATATTGTCCTTTTAATGAAAAGTATTTTGTTTTATATTTTCATCGGAATTGTTCGACTCTTTCCGTCATTCCCGTATATCTTTCTATATACACTTATGAATGCACTTCTCAACGGTGTTCCGTTAAAACGGTGTTCTGTAAGGGCCAGTTTGTTTTCTCTGAACACGAAAAGCTCGAAGCACGACAGTACAAAAGTAGGATCGCGGAATGCCACGGGACGATGATGACGGTACGATGACGATAGTTTGCCATTACGATGGCGAAGTGGACACTTCAATGATGATAGTCCATCGTATTATTGTATTATCACCATAGTATTGTTGTACAGTCACCATCGTAGTGTCGCCTTCCTGTCGAAGTATTGTAAGGTAAAATATTGACAAGGAGAAAAATATTGACAAAAGGTGACAGTACGATGATGGAGCGCGACAGTACAATGATTACAGTACGAAAGTGACAACATGACAGGGCGATGGTGAAGTCTAACAGAACGATGGTGTTAGTATGGCAGTACGATAGTGACAGTATGATAGTGACAGTACGACAGTGTGAAAGTGACAATACAGCAGCACGATGAGCTGTTGTCATAGTTATGTTGTGCTTCGCAAACTTACTGTCGTATTGTCACCATAGAACTGTCGAACTTTACACGATGGTGACAGTGCGACAGAACGATGGCAAAGTACAAAAATTCATCGTACTTTTACCATCGCATTGTTGCAATGTCACTATCGTACTGTCGTATTATCAAAATTGCACTGTCACCATCGTACTTTCGTATTGTCACAAGCGAACGCAGTAATATCACCATCGTACTGTCTCTTCCCTGTTAAGCATACGCAAAATAGAATATTATAACAATGAGGAACACGTTAACAATTTTAACATTGAACTGTCGCGCTGTGCAATCGTACTGTCATACTGTCATCATTGCACTATCGTACTTCGAGCTTTCTGTTCTCAGATAAACGCGTTGGCATTAAAGGAACACTGTTCGATTGGGTCAGTGCGTTATTTCTGGGAACGCATACCGCGAATGACGACACTACGGTGGTAAGAGTACGACAGTACGATGGCAAAGTCCAACAATTCATCGTTCTGTCACCATCGTACTGTACATTGTGGTATCACCATCGTACTGTCGTATTGCCACAATCGTACCATAGTAATGTCAACATCGAACAGTCGCCTTCCTGTTAAGCATGCGCATAATAAAATGTTAACATGAAGGAAAAGCGTTGACAATTTCATAGAAACTGAATAGATTTAAAGGCAGTATATTCGTCTGACGCCATGCTGAGTAAAATGTTTGCGCTTACTTGACAAGAAAGTGAAAGTACGATAGTGAAGCGCGACAGTACGCTGCTGACTGTAAGATTGCACATCGCGACAGTTCTTTGGCGAAATTGTCAAAGTGTTCCTACAATTGTACTGTCGTGCTTTGCCATCATACTGTCGTATTGTCACCATCATGATGTCAAGCTTTGTCATCATATTGTCGTTCTGTCACCATCGTATTGTCACATTTGAGGTCTCAGGGAAATCACACTGGTCTTTTTGGATCGCCGTATTTATCAAACTAGGAAACTATTCGCAAAATATATACCATAAAAGTTAGACTTTGTGGGAAGGGATGTTATTAATATTGTAATAACTTGTAGCCCTATCCATTTGCACTATACTTATTGTCAGAATAATCATGCTGTTTTATCAGTTGATATTTTTTTACAACGAGACATTCTTTTCTACAGCAATACACTGTTTGAGTTTAGTGTAAATATCGTATTTCAATGTTAAAACATTTTTTAAACCTGTTGTGTGCATTTTTACGGAAGCGTCTTGGTGCCATTTCATTATGTTTTATAAATATTTAAAGCCGAATGAGTTTATAACTCCTACGTAGAGAAACAAAAGCCTAATTAGGTTTTTAAAAATCTTATGTAGGATGTTTTAACTCCTACGCAACAGCCGAAATAAACATCAAGATTATCGCCGTTTTACTCCATTTACAAAATCTTTCGACAAATTCAAACGTGGCTCCCAAGCTTTGCAGTGTGCAAAATGTGCTGCGCTTTGAAGATGGGAACCAGTCGGATATGGGCGGAGCCATTCGGTGATATGTTGGTTCCCATAATTCAAAGCGGGGCGTATTTGAATACACGGCAAAGCTGGGGAGCCACGTTTGAATTTGTCGAAAGATTTTGTAGCAGATCTAACTTTTAACATGGGTCATCCATGGTCAAAATCTAGTTCACATAGACCATAAACTTAAATGCTCTAGAGGTGACATTTTAGCCCAAATATCCTGGATATTGGTCAGAAATGTTTTTTGTATGATTTCTAGCTCAAATTTGAATATAGGCCATTTGAGGTAAAAATATAGGTCACAGCGCATAAAAAGGAATATATGGAAAAAACTCATCTATAAATGTTAAAATATTAGTTAAAGTTGATAGAATTATATCTTCCTTTCATTCATTGCTAACAATATTAATCAGGTAAGCGATATAAGGGTCCTAATGGCCCTCTTACTTCAGTCTGGTGCCTGTCTGTGCCTGAAATATTGTAGGAATAGGTACCTACAGTAAAAGTTCTCTTCAACCAATAAAGTTGATTCGTATGACCTGATTTTTTTCATTGTGATACAGATTAGGTATACGCCTCGCCACATAATGTTGAGGGGGCTACATTGGAATCTCTGTTGTGTCGCACTGTGCCAGTGGGTCGGTTGCTTGTTCCGTATCCGACATTCATTCTTTCATTGATTTTCTTCAAACTTTACTCACAACTACGCAACATGCAGAACCCATGTCACAGCTGTGCCAGGTCAAGGTCATGCTTGAAATCATATTCTAGTCGATATTGTTGCTGCTCTATAATTTCTCTAACACCTGAAGGACGTTCAGAACCCATGACATTTCTGTGCTGGATCGAGGCCACGCTTGAAAGTCAAATGACAGTCAATTTTGTGACCGCTCAATTAATCTTATGCCTCTTGAAGGGCTTTTAGCTCATCTGAAGCTGAATATGAGTTTATGTGATCTTAATTTGTCCGGCATCCACTATATGGCAGTATGTCAGTGCGTCCTATATGTTCCAGGCATGAAGCCTAACTAAAATTGTTCAAATGATTCTGCTTCATTGAACATCGTAGGCAAATAGATTTAGAAATCTACGTCTCTGAAAGAGACCCCTGGAGTGGGGATTATTTGACCACAGGGCTTTTATTTGAACAAACTTGATAGACACTCACTAGAAGATAAGGGGTCATTGTTCTTCAAAATATGTGTTTAGTAAAAACTTAAAAAATTTCTTGTAAAAAAACCCCAAAGATCTAGAGCTTAGATATTTATCAAGAAATATCTTCTAATGGGTGTCTACCAAGTTTGTTCAAATAAAAGCCTTTGGGTTAAATTGGCCCCGCCCCGGGGGCCTATATACAGGTGAGCGATCCCAGGGCCATCATGGCCCTCTTGTTTTAATTGTTACGATTTATAAGAATGTTTCCTATTTCAAATCTTTAAAGTATTCAGAGTATTTCCGGTCTATCGAATGCATTTTTCTAATCGCTGTCCAGTTTCGTAAAGCTGAACTTCGCTGACAATGATTAATTGCGCTGCCAAAAGAACTCCCGGATGGACATCTTTTACCAGAAAGCATTTTCTTAAGCCTGGTGAATTGAAAGTCTGGAGAATAAGGCAGATGGCGCCAAGACAAACGTTATTGTGCCTAACCACGATTTGAGCATGTTAATGCATGGAACAACACTGAAAGGAATGCTCTGCCTACTAGGCTATCAAAACACATGAAAATATGACTTTTTACATAAGGCTTCAGTCTGCCTATTGCTGACTCCCTGGGGCGGGGCCAATTTTGATCCCAGCGCTTTTATTTGAACAAACTTGATAGACACTCACAAGAAAATGTTTCATGCCAAATATGTAAGCTCTACCTCTATGGGTTTTTAAAAGAAGACTTTTTAAGTTTATCTTTCAAAGATTTGCGTTCATTGAGCGCCGCCTTTCCTTGTTGATCTTGTTTATCATATTTTACCTTTTATTTGCATTGTTATTAATCTTTGTTATGTAAACAAAGGCTCAAGTTATCATCCTGGGACAGTAGAACTTCATGCTAGGAACATCCCAGAAAAAATTTCAACAAGTTTGACCCAGTGATTTCTGAGAAATTGTTTGTAAATAAAAAGTTGATGATGGCGAACTGACAAACAATGTATGCCTCACAAAACCTGAAAAGAGATCTTCTGAGTCATGATATGTACTTCAATAACATAATTACAAGCTGGCATCATTGACAAAAACAAGCGCAAATTTATTGCTGTAAATGACACAAATGATGATTTTCCAAAGAAAGAAAAAAGCAGTGTAAACAAAGAATTTCACTGAAAATTTGCATTAAAAGGGGCATATCTTTATATACAGTAAGTAATAAGTTGATTGTAGACAAAATCAAATTTTGATATGCGTTTTGATAATTATTACATGCAAGAAAAAACAATCATTGAATTACTTCAAAATTTATTTGTAACCAAATGTCTAAAGACAGATGGATAAAAACAAACATACATATGGACAGTGCCATAAAATAATCATACAACAGACAAGTCTTCCATTAGCAATATCTACATTAAAAATAAGAATCAGAAGTTTCTGGTTGATTCCAATCCATAACAGCAAGTGCAATGATTCAATGTAAGCCACTATATCTACTGGCCTTGATTTATCTTTTTTCAAGCCTACACAGTCTAATAAGGCCCTATATTTAATGCAACTTAATTTCAGTTGTATGATAATAACAATTTAAATTTATTAGGAGAATTTAGAAGGTCTATCATACTAATTTATTAATGAAACTGTTATTTTGTTTTATTATACCTCAAGTAAACGTTATAATTATTATATAGTCAAATGTGACATCACATGGTGTTATTTGGATCTATCATCCTGGAAATGAATATCACCTGGTTTGCAATATTCCCCACCTGGTTTGCAATATTCCCCAGGGGAGAGTAATTTATATAGACTTAAGGAGATGTACTGTTCAAGTTTTCTCCCCTGATAAAATTCAATGATGAATGGCTCGGCTCTCAGAGCAATAATTCATAGCTGTGAACAATTACATTACAATGATGTTACCAGCTTGGGTGTTATTTCAGTTCTCCGGTTCCTAATATGCAATATTTCCCGGAGACACCTGTGTTAATTTTATATTATAATGGTTATTAAGTCACTTACATGCATTAAGGTCTTACAAACAATTTAGCTGCAACTTGCTCAAACAAATTATTCAAAAACTTTAAAATATTACTGACTTCTTTACAGCAAAAAAGTTCATATGATTTTAAAAGTATTATTACTTGAGAAGACATCTATAACAACATTGCAACTGCTATTGTACAGGTTAAGCAGGAATTTTTACATGCCTCTTTCACATTATACAAACTTTACTTACTTTATTCTTAATACCAATCTATGATATGATACATACTTTCAATCTTATTATGTTAAGATACTTAACCATTATATCTTAAATGGACTTGTCCATCTTTCAATCTGGACAAAACCATTCATCATTTTTAGAGAAGATCTTAAAATAAGTATTGACCGAATAGCTAATAGTGCAGACCATGATCAGGCAGCACGAAGGTGACAGCTAAATCTTGGTCTGCACTGGTAACATGTGTACATGTAGCTTCAGTTGCCACTACAAGATTAAGTTTTAAGATGCTTGGTAACTCACAAATAATGCACTAATGATATCAGATAGTCCAACTACAGTTTTATAACCAACTAAGCAACACTGACTGGTTTGTCTTTCTAGAAATAAAACAAAAGTTATCGAAAAGAAAAACAAGAGGGCCATGATGGCCCTGAGGTCGCTCACCTGTATAAAGGCCCCCGGGGCGGGGCCAGTTTAAACCCCAGGGCTTTTATTTGAACAAACTTGAAAGACACTCATTAGAAGATGTTTCACAATGTTAAGTTTGTTAAGTTTTTACTACACACAATGAAAAACAATTATCTCCCCCCCCCCCTCCAGCAGGGCCAATTTTCACCCCAGGGCTTTTATTTGAACAAACTTAGTAGACACCCATAAGAAGATGTTTCATGCTAAACATCTAAGCTCTAGCTCATTGGGTTTTTTAAAAGAAGTTATTTTAAGTTTTTACTATATACATATAGTTAAAAACAATAATACCCCTGGGGCGGGGCCAGTTTTGACCCCAGGGCTTTTATTTGAACAAACTTTGTAGACACTTACTAGAAGATGTTTCATGCTGAATATCTAAACTCTAGCTATTTGGTTTTTTTCAAAGAAGATTTTTAAGTTTTTGCTATACACATATAAGGAAAATCAATGACCCCCAGGGGCGGGGCCAATTTTTTAAACCAGGGCTTTTATTTGAACAAACTTTGTAGACACTCACTAAAATATGTTTCATGCTTAATATCTAAACTCTAGCTCTTTGAGTTCTTTAAAAGAAGATTTTTTAAGTTTTTACTATATGCATATAGGGAAAATCAATGACCCCCTGGGGCGGACCAATTTTGACCCCAGGGATTTTATTTGAACAAACTTGGTAGATACTCATTAGAAGATGTTTCATGCAAAATATCTAAGCTCTAGCTCTTAGGGTTTTTTAAAAGAAGATATTTAAAGTTTTTTCTTTCGGTTGCCATGGCAACCAGAGTTCTGCATGGAATTAAATTCTTTGAACAATTTTTAAAGGTGACCACCAAAGGAACATTCCTGTGAAGTTTGGATGAAATTGGCTAAGTGGTTTATGAGGAGATGTCATTTAAAATAAAAGTTTACGGACGGACGGACGACGGATGGATAACGGACGAAAAGCGATCACAAAAACTCAGCCTGTCACTTTGTGACAGGTGAGCTAAAAATACCAAAAGTTTATACATTCACTTCAACTTAGATGATTCATGTATTTATTTCGAACAGAAATGCCAAATTTATAAAATATTTAGAGCTTTTATCTTGCTTTCTTATAAACAGTTAGAACAATTTATTTCATGTCTGAGTTAGTGGCTTAAATACAATCCACTTTTACATTCTCATTTATTCTACATGTGGAGATCACTAACTTGATTGAACACATCAATTTATATATCTTTCAAATTATCCATAAAAAAGAACTATCACTCGACAACTATGAACTTCTTTTCCTCCTTTACCTTCACTTTTTCTACTTTAGTTTTCTTTGGTGGAGTTTGAGGTACACTAGAGTCTGATTTCAGATTATCTTCCGGTCCGAACACATCATCGAGTTTTGTTGGTGCCAGTCTGATTTCAGGGCCCAGTGAGGACCAAATATAGCAGAGTTCGGGGGAATTGTTTAAAGTAGGGTATGGGCTTTTACTGCTTCTGTAATAGTCTGATGGTGCATGACAGACAAACTCCATATACTCCATCTTTCTTGGCAGATCTTCTTCTGGTCCTGTAGATAAATGATAAAACAAAGTATTGTTTTCTTTAACATGAAACTACAGTCGACTCTCGTTATCTCGAAGTCATCGGGACCGTCCAAAAAATATCGAGATAACGAAATGTCGAGATAAACATATTAGGGTTTAAACAAGGCAGAAACTGTTTTTTACAAAAGACATGTGCATACCTTATGTCAAATAAACTATGATATCCCCATGTCTTGTTTTCATAGGCCTAGTCAATATTTAACAAAGTAACAATTAGCGGATGTTTACCAGGTGTCTGTGATAATAACACATAGTGAGGTTTACTCAGTAATACACCAATATAGTGAAAACATTGTTTTCAGGGTGGTTTATCCGGAAATCCTTCCGGGTAATTTATCGGGTCTTTCTCGAGATTGTTCGACCACTGATTGATTTGGTGGTGATGTTGTGAAACAATATTGCAACGATAGCGTTTCTATACTTTCACTATTTCATTTACATTTTAAGTCATAATGAATTGCTACAGTGTCCGAATATTTATAAAGAACGTAAAATTCACTCATTTTGGACATAAGTCAATCAACACGCTAAATAGATTAACTTTTAAAAAAAAAACCAGCTAAACTTGTATCAAACATAATCATCATTATGACACGCGCTTTTGAAAAATTATCGTCTAGTTTGTGTTTTTCACACGTCTAAAGGGAACAGATGAAAGATAACTATTAGTCGAGATAAACAAAGGATAATAGTGTGGAAATAACTGTTGGGGCTGATATTTTACATCGAGATACTGAAAATATCGAAATAAAATATCAAGATAAACAAATATTTCCAATATAGATAGAGAAGGAAGAAAATAGGGACTTTCAAAATTTCATCGAGATAACGAAATATTGAGAAAAGCGATGTCGAGATAACGATAGTTGACTGTATATGCAAAAAATTTTTATTCCATTTAAAGGTATTGATAAGATTGTGTAAGTACATGCCAAAATATGACAAATTCAGTATTTTGCAGGGTTTTCTCTAAAACATCACAAAGAAGGTGTTAGCTACATGTATGTCCTATAGCTCTGGAGCAATTAATATTGACATACCTTGTATACTTACTTTAACAACCAAGTAAATGTAACAGCTAACCTTAAGAAAACTTTTTCATTTTAAGCAGCCCAGTGTTTTTTTTCAGTTTTGGGGGAAGGGGGTCAGTGCCCATTGGGTGGGGGAAAATAGCGCGTAAATGCCAAAAAAGGGGAATTTTCAGTGTTATTAATATTCAATAAAAGGACTAAAAATACATGATTTTTTAACAATCCTATAAGATAAATAAAACAACTAATTGAAATTAGTTAACAACTTTATTAACTGAGTGACTTCAGTTCAGTTTGATTCTTGTTTGGGTTTATTTTTTTGACGGTGGGGAATTTTCGCAATTTCATGGGGAAAAATATATATTCCGAGAGGTGGGGAAAGGGGCCGAATATCGCTGAATATTTCAACCAAAAAAAACACTGCAGCCTAAAGTGCCTTTTAAGTTATTAAAAAAAAACAATGGTTACATAGCAGTAAAAAGACAAAAAAAAAAATGGTGGAATATAAACACTGCTACTATACTGTCTCCATTGGGGGTGGGGGGGGGGCTGCTAATTATAAAATGATAAAAATGTGCTTTAAAATATGTTTATTTAAGATAACATTTAATATTTTAAATTATATTTTTAATTATTCATTATTATGATCTAATACATGTATATTATACAGGATTACTTTTACAATGATTTTACATTACATAACTGGAGTGACATTAATTATTTTTAAAATAAAAAATTTTGCTCATATGGATGATTGTTTGTTTGTTTCATTTTACGCCTTTTCCCAACAGTATTTCAGTCATATAGGCGGGTAGTTTGCTAACCATCGTTCCTGGAGAGTTACACCAGTACTAGACTACCTTCCTGCGCGTTAAACTACCAAAGCATCTCCCGGGGATCGAACTCAAGCCAGAGAGGTAACTGAATTAGAAGTCATCGACTCTAACCCCTCGACCACGGATGAAGGATAATGGAGAAAATCTATAAGGAAAGATTTTTTTCTTCTACAAAATGTGGTGGTTGGAAGGGGGGGCGCTTATTAGAGGAGAGGCATTAACTGGAAACAATACAGTATTTATCGAAAACTAAGTCCACACAAGCACTTGAAGAATCAAGTTACACTGCAACGGTTTACCTTCACTACAGATATCTTATTACATAGTGAATATATAGGGTGGGGGGGGGGAATGCTTTTCTTTCTTTCTCTCTCAATAAGAGATTCAAAAAACTTAATTGCAATGTAAAAACGCCCTATCCAATGTATACTCCCTAAATAACATGACAAAAATAATGTTAAAATGTAAATAAAAAAAATAATACAACATTAAAGCAGCATGTCTCCAAATTTGATTTTTTTTTTTTCATAAAAATTATCTTAATGAGTAAAATTGTTATCAATTGAACTAAACAAGTGTTTAAACTATGTCTATACAAAGAAGTTAAATACCAATAACTACTTTCTCTTATTTCATTAAATAACAGGGTAGAATTTTGGTGATAAAAATAATAAAATAGGTCATCAGTGATTTTTTTCACTGTATTTTACAGCAGAATAAAGGCTGTTTACCCTAGCCTAAAATAGGTATATTTTCCCCTAAAAATGCTAATATTTTCCCATAAAATGCCTCGTGCTCTTTCCTACCAGAACCATTACTTAACAGCATCTGACATATATCAGCCAAAAGACAGAAATCTGTTCCTATACACAGCCCCTGCTATATACCATGCATATTAAAATGAATTGAAATAACTTTTTTTTTATAAAAACAATTATGGGTAAATTCCATTTTCAGTTGTTGGAATTTGATTTCATGTTTTCCCCCTTTTCTGATTTAACACGCTTTATTTTCCATTTCAGAGAGCCACAGGTTGTTTTGAAAATTGGAAAAAAGATCACTGGTCATATTTTTAGTTATAAATGTACATTCAATGGCTTGTGAATACCAGTATGTCTTACATTTCTCATTTCTTAAGCTTTTTTGTTTTTGTTGTTTGTTTTTTTGGGGGGTTTTCGGTGAAGATTTTTCACTCATCTGGAGGCACGGCCCTTTAAGACTGAAATAAAGGAGAAAAATGCTGTGATACCTAGCACATAAGTCGCAGGATCAAATTTCCCAGAGAAAGAATCCCTGGTTGGTAGAAGCCATGTAATTACTGCACTCTTCTCATAGTACTGGTCCTGAAGAAATCCCCGGATCTGAGCATAGTAAATATTCTCATCATCGTCAACAAGTGATACAATGTCCCCAACCTGGTAATATGTTCCCTGAATTATATGAAATATATGTTATGTTACAACATGTTTATAAATAGCAACTACATGTACATAAATAAACTGTATGGTCATAAATTTGATTGAAATATCCCCCATTATTGGTAGTTGCAGAATAGCCAAAAAAAGTCACAAACGATAATTTTTAGCAATCTCAATGGTATCTATTCAATAAGTTGTCTAACAGAACGAGCAATATGATTGTCAATCAAGATTGGTCTGCCTTCACCATGTAACCATGTAACAGATGCAGCATATAAATCAGCTCCTCATTGTACCCTGTTCTGTATTGCACTGTAAAATGCTATAATTAGCCCTACTGGAACTAAATGTGCTAACTTTGCGGCACATATCAGGGTCTTTCTAAAAGTATTTGTAAGCTAACAAAACCAACATAATGCGTTTGCCACCAGCATGGATCCAGACCAGCCTGCGCATCCGCGCAGACTGATCAGGATCCATGCTGTTCGCTTACCAACCCTATTACATGTAGAGAAACTGACATCCTAATCAAACTTTGCCTTTCATCAAATAAGGATGTATCTTTTAAAAGAATCATAGTCTAATGTTCAGCAGAGTTGTTACCACTCACAACAGTTACTGTGTCTTCAAATCCCATCAGGGTCTTTGGATTCATTCAAATGATGAATCTATTCAGCTAGCTTACAAATGATTGTCGGAAAGCCCAGAAAATTGTCATTTTATAAGACCATTACAGTTTTGCAAGACAACTGATAAACATTCCATATAAAATTCAGAATCTTAATACATGTTTAATGAAGTATTAAAATGTATTACAAATAAAAATTACCTCATAAAAAATACTTTCTCCAGTAACAATTGTTGATACTGCAGTTGGCGCCTTTACTGGTTGCTGTGAAAACAAAATTTATAATATCATGATTAAAATTTGTTGCCTAGATATAAGTATAAATCAAGAACATCAACTTTTCTGAGATCATGTCAATAAAGATATTGGAAGAAAATAAAATTCTGTCAGATAAAAACAAAAGTTAGATATAAATTTCTCTTATTACACATTAGTACTAGTAAACGGTCAACATGTACTCACTTGGTGATGTGAACATCGAACAAACAAACATAATACAAACGAGAAGTAGTACTTCAAGACTAAAGTAATATCAGTATCAACTAAGAACAGAACTGGAAGAAGAGATGCAGTTGCCAATTATATGAAGTCTTACTATCTTAGTACTATCTTGCAACGAAACTGGTAGACGATTCAACAGTGGGAAACTTTTGGAAAAATGAGTAGGAGTGATACAGTGCTTATGATACGTGTAACGAAACTGGCAGATGATTCCACAGCTTAGTCTAGTAAGATACTTTTTGGAACAAGGCAGTCTGAAGGACAGCTAAATCCCCTTCTGCAGCGGACATGAATGTGTACTTCTTGACTTTTAACAAACTATGACCTTGATAGCACTTATTTGTGCCAATAAATTTAAAATCTTCCATAAAGTCAAAGTGTTTTGGAAAACATTTTAATGTTGACCATGGGGGTACCTCCTGAATGTTGGGTTCTACACATCATGTCATAATGGTGATGCTTTCTGTCATGTCATCTTAAAAACACTTCAGCATTTTTGCGACGGACGCGCCCACAGGCGCGTTCAGAGCTAAGTCATCTACACATGGGATTTCGTCGGCTACAATCGCGCAAAGTGTCCTAAACCGATTAACAGCCCAAGAAATAGTACATGAATTTGATCCTTCAAAACTCCCATACTTTGTCGGGATATCTTAAAGTCTTCCATAATTAGCCTGTTCAATTTCAAATTAAGTTATCCAAGTTAAAATATGAACGTATATTATTGATAAAAACGTTGTAGTCCCGTAGTATTATTGCGCAATATGCAAATTACTGCCGAAACGATTTACCGCTGTCGAAAAAGTAGGACAGCAAATTATACTACAATAAAGGTGTAAGCTCTGAGTTCCAAGACATTATTAGTAGAAAATAAATATTTCTACATTATACAAAACATTATTATTAACAAATCAAAAGTTTTTCGTGACTCTAGGATAACTCGCGCATTAATAAAAGAAGAACTATTTTCGTGACTCATACCGTGGGTTTAGCTGAATATTCAGCAGTTATTAATAAATTAGATACAGTACAATGGTTAGTATAAATATCTATTTTTGAAAATGCATGTAAGAAGAGAGTTAATTTTCAACACTTTACCACCATGTAGTCTTTCATGGTAAGGAAGTTATAATATCAGTTCTACTTCCGATTCTTGCGGTTTGTTTACATATTTTTCTAGGTCACGATATGAGTTAACCTTCGCTATTCTAAAAATAGATTCTGCTTCACTTGTGCTGATTTTTGGACAGGCGATTATGGAGTACACATTATACATGTAATAAACCAACGGATTACATGCAATACTTTTAGAAATTCTATACGATTGTAAGAAGATGGAATTTAGTGTGAAATTGAAAAGGACAACTAAACACTGTAGTGCTTAAGTGACATTTAAATTAAAATAAAAACGATGTGCTCTGGCCTCTACATCTTTACCTTGTAAATAAAAAAAAATCTAAAAAAATACACTATTAATTGCTGATGATTTTAACCAAAAAAATTTTTTTAATGAGACCTATCCAAGAGAAATAAAAATACAAATGACTTATATTTTATTGTCTATATGTCCACTATGATATAACACGAAGCAATTCTAAATAGCATTCTCAAATGTATAATGTATTATGCTTGAAGTATATTTGCATGGTTTTATTTTAGAAATATTTCGTTGACAGTATTTTTTTTCTATTTACATATCATATCTTGGAATAAATCGATAAGGACACTGATTTACAAGTTTGACCAGAGTTTTTAGGCATAAATTTCATTCTGTATTTAAGTGCTTGAAAGTAAAAAATCTGAATTATATCAGTTTGGGACACAAAATATATTGCTCTACAAATCTCGAACTTGTATGGAACAAATTTTTTCTGTTATATATTTTGTGTTTCGATTTTGTTTTTTTTTCTAAAAAAGCCTTAATGACTCTCCGTTTGCATGTCCGTCGCATTCAATGCTGCAGCACTTTGATTAATGTTATGGAGCCGACAGGAAATGTAAACTTTTTAACACCTGACCTTTAAGTGTGACCTTGACCTTGGAAGTAGCAACCAAATTATTGCGCTCTGCACATCATTTCATAATGGTGATCACTTGTGCCAAGTATATAATTTTTTCAGCAGTTTCATAGTTATGGAACTGACACAAAATGTACACTTTTAACACTTGACCTTAAAGTTTGACCTTGACCCTAGAGGTAGCAACCACATTATTGCGCTCTGCACATCGTCATATAACGGTTATCACTTGAGCCAAGTTATTTAAAAAAAAAATTCAGAGGTTTAAAAGTTATGGAGCCAACACAACATCTAGACATTTTAACACTTGACCTGTAAGTGTGACCTTGACCTTGGGGGTAGCAACCCAATTATTGTGCTCTGCACATCATCTCACAATGGTGATTCAGTCACTCATCATTTGTGCCAAGTTATTTAAACAAGAGGGCCAAAATGGCCCTAAATCGCTCACCTGACCCATCAAACTCATCCTAGCAATTACCTAGACAAGCAACCTGACAAAGTTTCATGACAGTTGAGTAAAAAATGTGACCACAAGAGTGTTAACAAGCAATTATCATAGTATTGCAAGCAATCCATAAGTCCCCTACCGGATGGAACCCCATCAACATTCTGAAGGGCCATTGGCCATTCACTAATGTTTTTATTTTTCTCTATTTTAAGTAAAATTGTTGGAAAAGTTCTTTAAAAGTGATCACAGGAAGCAGTTTTGTTGAAAAGACAGACGGACTGAAGGACACTCTAAATTTAATATTTGAAACATCCCTGTTACCAAAATATAACAATTTAAAAAGCAAAATTCTTAAAGAGGAGATAACTCTGGAATTAAAGATGCAATTTCATAAAAATTTTCCTTTTTGACTAATCACAAATATTGTTATATTTGCCATGTTTAAAGCCTATTTGTTGCCAAGGCAACCAATATTTTTTTCAAAATAAGAAGAACAGATAAGACATGCATAATTTCAAGACTGCCACCTACCCATATGTCAAGTTTCATAAAAATATTTCCAGTACTTTTTGAGTTATCACTGGATTCAGTTTATGTGTAAAATTTGCCATATTTTCAGTCTATGTGTTGCCATAGCAACCAGAATTTTCAACATAGGAAGAAAGGAAAAAGATGTGCATAATCTCCAGACTGCCATCTACACATATTACAAGTTTCATAAAAATACTTCTATTACTTTTTGCGTTAACACTGGATCCAGTTTATGTGTAAAAATTGCCATATTTTCAGTCTATTTGTTGCCATAGCAACCAGAATTTTCAACATAGGAAGAAAAGAAAAAGACATGCATAATCTCCAGACTACCATCTACCCATATTTCAAGTTTCATAAAAATATTTCCAGTACTTTTTGCGTTATCACTGGATCCAGTTTATGTGTAAAATTTGCCATATTTTCAGCCTATTTGTTGCCATAGCAACCAGAATTTTCAACATAGGAAGAAAAGAAAAAGACGTGCATAATCTCCATACTGCCATCTATCCATATATCAAGTTTCATAAAAATATTTTCAGTACTTTTCAAGTTATCGCGGGATCCAGTTTTGTGGACGGACGGACTGACGGACTGACAGACAGACGGACGGACTGACAGACAGACAGATGGACGGACGGACGGAGGGTAAACCTAAAGTCCCCTCCGGTAAACCGGTAGGGGACTAACAAGGTTTTTCCATATTTGAGCAGTGTGACCTAGTTTTGACCCCAGGTGACCCATATCCTAATTCAACCTAGAAATTATCAAAACAAAATTTCAGACCAATTTCAAGGATATTTGGATCAAAGTCACTAGAGTGTCAACAAGATTTTTCTATTTTAGCTCCTGTGACCTAGATTTTCATTCGAGATGACCCATGTTCGAACTCATCTGAGCAATTACCCAGACGAGCATCCTGACCATGTTTGATGACAATTGAGTCAAAAATGTGACCAGTAAAGTGTTTAAGAACAAATGTGGACGGACGACAAACCACAGACATTCAATGATCCTAAAAAAAAAGGGCCATAACTTGGCCAAAATTCATTCAACTGGAAATCCAATGCAATATGCGCAAGGACTTGAGCTACAAATCAATACTGTAAAGTTTCATTGAAATTGCATTAGTGGTATAAGAGAAAAAGTCCAGACAAACTTTAAAAATAAAATTTATTTAAGGGCCATAACTCAGACAAAAATCGTTGAACCGGAAAATGCTGACGGATTGCACAACTAGACTTGGTACTGATCATGCCTGTAAATTTCATACATGTGAACTCTCCAACTTTTAACGGGAGACTCCCACTTTCTGCATCCACATTTTCAAAGATTTTTCCTAAAATAAGGGGTATTTTAACAAATTAAAGAAATCTCCCTATTTTTGATGTCAGAACTTCCTTCTTTGTTTATTGCAAATTCTAAAATCTCCCTCTTTTTGAAGAAAAAAGAAAAAGTTCACATCTATGAAAGTTTGGATGAAATTGCACCAGTACTAGTATATGAGGAGTAGTCCAGAAAACGTCATAAGTTTTGTGATGGAAGGACAGACAGAAGATGGACAAGCGATCCTTTTCGAGGACGATTCCCATGCAACTTGGAGAGTATCTCATAGTCATAGTTCAGAACTGTTCACTCTTTAGGGGAGATAATGCGTAAGTTGCCAGATAGCTCAGTTGGTTGAGCTACTGTATATTATTTAGTCCTATAAATATGACGTAGAGCTTTGAGATATTTTTGCTTCTGGGCAAAGCAACGTCATA